GCCGCCCGCCACCCCCGCGCCAGGGGTGCAGCTGGACGTGGAAGCGCTCATCCCCACGCACGATGAGCAGGGCCGGCCCATCCCCGAGTGGAAGCGCCAGGTGATGGTCCGCAAGATGCAGCTGAAGATGCAAGAGGAGGAGGAGCAGAGGCGGAAGGTGGGCCGGGTGGGGCTTCCCAGAGGGCCCTGGGGTGTGCACCTGGGCCCACAGCCCCTCCTCCCAGCACCCCAGCCTGCCGGGCCCTGCAGCCTCAGGCAACTCCCATTACCTTTGGGGCCAGGCAGCCTGGGACCTTGTAAACATGCTCTTCTGGTTCAGGGGCTCTGGCGGGGCTGAAATTCTGCAACAGCCTCAGGGGAGGCGGACCGTGCTGTCCAGAGCCCACACTCTGAATAGCCCGGAGGCTCTCGGTCATAGACTGTCCTGGGCTCTTTCCTTGCATTTCCACCTTCCAGCCTCATCCAGCCTCAGTCTCCTCATCTGTCAGATGGGTTGATCATCACTGGCTGGCAGGATGTTTGGCCATCGACACATTTAACATGGTCCCTGGGCGTCGTCTATGTGCCACACATATTGTAGTCTCTTGGGATTCATGGACTATATCAAGGTCTGCTCTTGAGGGGGCTGCAGGAGTGGGGCAGAGGGGTCAACCAGCAAGCAAGCACAGCACCTCAGTGGAGTGAAGAGTGCCCCCACATAACTGGGCTGGCGCAATATGGGCATCGCTGTGGTGGAGCAGGCAGAGGGCTGGGGCAGCCCCAAGCCCCCCATCCTGTTTGGGCTGGGGGCGGGGGTGGGAAGGAGACAGTGAGGTTTAAGGTGGATTTGGAGATGAGAAAGTGGTGGACGGGAAGCGTGGGGCAAAGAGCAAGCAGGCAGGAGGGGGAGGGCTGGGAGTCCGTGGGTGTGGCTCCGTGACTGTATATGGAAGGAAAGGGCTAGAGCTGGGGTTGTGGGGGGTAGTCTTGAGAAAATGGACCTTCTCCCCGAGCAGTGTGTAGTCTGGAGGGGGTAAGGCTGGGAAGGGGCATCATTGGATTTGTATGTGGGGACTGTGGTGGGTCAGGATGAATGGGAGGGCAGTCCTCCACCCTCCACCATCCAGGCTGGAAAAGCCTGGCATTAGAATTGCAGCCTAGCGGTGAAGAAAGGCGAGGAAAAAATGTAAGAACAGCTTGGCAAGCCCAGCTCTACAAACTGTATTATTACTAACGGGAGGTGAGGGGGTGGGAATAGGAGTGGACACCACAGCTCCAGCCTCTTTTATAAAAATATGTATTTTTTTTATTGATTTCAGAAAGGAAGGGAGAGGGAGAGAGAGAAACGTCAATGATGAGAATCATTGATGGGCTGCCTCCTGGACACCCCCCAGCCCAGCCACGCAGGGCAGGGACCATCAGGGGATGGAGCCCGCAACCCAGGCCTGTGCCCTTGACTATTATCGAACCCGGACCTTTCAGTCGGCGGGCTGATGCTCTGTCCACTGAGCCAAACCAGCTAGAGCAGTGATGGCGAACCTATGACATGCGTGTCAGAGGTGACACGCGAACTCATTTTTTTGGTTGATTTTTCTTTGTTAAATGGCATTTAAATATATAAAATAAATATCAAAAATATAAGTCTTTGTTTTACTATGGTTGCAAATATCAAAAAATTTCTATTTGTGACACGGCACCAGAGTTAAGTTAGGGTTTTTCAAAATGCTGACACGCGGAGCTCAAAAGGTTCGCCATCACTGAGCTAGGGCCAGTCTCCTTTAAGAGCCTGTGGTTGGGACTAAAACACCGACATGGTGGACAGAGAGGGCTTGGGCCACAGGATGAGAAGGGGTCATCAGTGTGGGGCGAGGAGAGGCCTCTGGGATCTGGCCTCCAAGTCGCAGAGCTTGGATGAGGTGGGAGGGCCGCCTTGCGTCGCAGCTTCAATGCCTTTTGCATGTTCTTCGGTGGTGTAATGAGCAACCAAGCCAGGCACGGAGCCATCT